AATTCTCACCAGCGGTATACTGTATAGCTTGGCAAAACAAAACATGGGAACTCCTCGTCATTGCTCCCAAACGTCTCAAGACAAACTAACCACTGATTACCTCCCTGGGCAAAGCAAATGCACGTGGGCTTTTCGAAAGCGTTAAGTTTCGTTGAGGAGTTGATATTTGTGCAAATGAATCCCACCATTTCAGCGTTTGCATGACCGGAGCTGTAATTTGAATTTATGATAAAGATATGCCGCTTTGGCAGAAAAGGTTTTATTTATCTTAGGAGCATTATTAAACACTCGAGAATACTGTTATGCAAATGGAGACTTCATAAATAATGTAAAGTGATCAAAACCTCATTTAAAAAAGCTTCACATAAAATACAATATTCAATAGTTTCCCACAAATTGGAGGCAAACACTCTTTTAAAGGGCCTTAATAATTAGTGCAAGCTATTTAAACCAAAACTTACAAATATTAATGAAATATTGAAATTATTATAATTTTATTTTTGCAAAACATGGTACATTTTATTTTATAAAACATCCAGCTATAAAGCGTTCGCTTTGTTTGTCGTAACTATTGTTTTACTTATGGTATATAAAAAAAAAAATATCACTACAACTTCCATAAGGATTTATATAACGAAGATTATTCATGCTTCTCTGATTTGGTTTAAGTATGCATCATCATTATCATCAGCCATGATCAATCCACTTTTTGACGAAGGCCCCCCCCACCCCAAAACCATAATGCTCCTTCATGATCCTATGATGTAATAATCCACCTTGCACTAACATTTTCCACTTGCACTAAATTTGAATGCAGTAGCTCCCTGGCAAAATGTGCGAGTGGGACAATCCAGATGTCTGCCAGCTGACCCGGCCAGATCAAGTCGCTCCAGAAGGCACAGCATTCTACCCAATGTGCATTTCATTGCAGTGAAAATAAACGAGTTCAAGTCGAGCTGGTGCAATTTTCCAGGGGAGATGATTGTATTGGGGCACAGGCAGAGAACATTCACGGCTCCCGAGTTCACATTTTACTGAAAACTACTGCCGAGTTGGTGAAATATGGCACTTTTAGATTTACTTCTTGTAAATCTAGGGTTTACTTCTTAAACAGGTTTATTTATTATTTATTTTGCCAGAGAGTTGATCGGCAACATTTGTATGTTCATGTCAAGGTTAGTGAGTCATCCGGTGGGTGGATTCAGATGTAAACCTATTGAATATCTAAACGGCTGCCAGTGAATGATGGAAGCAGGCAGTGGTGTTACTGCGTCGGCCATGGTTTGAGATTTGGTGACCACAGTCCAGTCCACACTCTGGGCCCTTCTTAATTGCCCATTAGTGTAAGAGATAGCTGCCTGCGTTTCTTGCTTATCTGTCCTTATGAAACAAAAAAAAACTGGCATTAACATACTACTGTGTTAACTTTATTGTCGTGGGAGTTGTACTGGCCCTACCCAAGACTGCCTATCATACTCTTATGCAACCTAATGGGCTCGTACAATAAGAAGTTAATCATACGAATGGGTGAGAACGACAGTTAAACATTTCAGTTAGGGATTGCTTAATATTGGACCATACACCAGGGCTTAACATTTTTGCGGGTCATAGGCTTTTGTATAAATTTACAGCAACAGCGGGTTTAACATTTCCACAGGTTCCTATAGGAACGTCTCGTACACGTAAATTTCAGTCCTCTGGACGCAATGCTCATACAGCAGATACGATATAACATTTACTGCCGCCACAAGCCATTGTACACTTAATCGTAAAATGTCTACATTTCTTTAAATTATGGGTTGTGAGTGTACAACAGTTTGGATATTGCATTGGTAGGCACAATGTGTTTGTGACACTGTGTTCAAAACATGCAAGCATTATGGAATCATAATTGTGTCCGCATTGGTGTCCTGTGGACCATTTAGGATGTGGCATGTTACAAGATGTTGTAGGTCAGAACAAGTTTGTCCAACAGCATTGCTCAATGGTGACCAAAACAGGAACAGGGACTTGCGTATAAAGAAGCTGGGATGACATGCAAATAGCATCGCTGTCCCAGGTGGCCATAGCAGCTGTAGATGTGTGCTCGGTGGATGGGTTTTTTTCTGAACGAGACATTGCTCTTGGGAACATATGGAATTTAAAAGTTGAATTTCCTATGGGATATACCCTAAGGGTCACACTGTATGGTAATGCCTACACGTATTGAATTTTACAAAAATATATTATATTATCTTAGGCTCAAGCAATGTTCATTCTTTTAGAAGACGTCACACAATAAAAATGCGCCGTTATTTTTGGGCCGAATAATTTTTGAATCGCTGAAAAAGTGCACGAAATCTGGCGTCAAGACTTGTGGTGCTGTGGACTCTTGGTTTTCCAATATCAGATTTCGTACATAATATCCCATTGGTTGATGTGGGATTTTATTTTAAATTGGGAGAAATAAAAGGCAACTAGGATTTCAGGAAATGACATTCTTCATGCCTTATGCATGCAAAAACTTTTAAGAATATTAAAATTTGCTTTAAACTAAAGAACACTTTTTTGAATTGGTATATTTCTTTATTTACGTTTTCACTTTTAAAAAAATGTAAGTCATCAAATTGCAGTTTTCACTTGCAGTGACTGACTGACACAAAGTGAACCAGATGTCCTTCGCACAACACCAAAAAACCAATTTGTTGCACGTTCTCCATCTTTCGACTTTCAGGAAAGATGGGGCCACATTTCCATTTGTGTAGGCTCATTAGTTTTTGATGCCCTCAATTTTCTATGCTGAAAGAGATCAATTTTTAATCAGTTTTTGTTTCTGCAGAAAGCTACCAGTACTTTTTCATTTCAGTTGAACATCGTGTGAGCAATTGTCAATGATTACGTCAACGCAAGACTTGCGATAACAAGCTGATCTTTTTTCATGCAGACGTACGTTCTAAAATTATATTCCCGTACATCGAATGCCATGTGAATTCCACTTGCAATTGCTCATAACATAATTGGCTCAGGATTGCTATTATATCATGTATGTATATATTTTTTCTCTCTCTCTGTATTATGCACTCATTTTGAACTCATTTATTTGGAATTAGGCTCCTATTCTTTTGAATCCTTTACAAACTGACCTTTACATCGAAAGTAATTAAACTGAATAACCGCTGTGGCAGGGTGAAGTGAGGGTTTTTCACAGGTCAGGGCATTTGGATCATATGAGGACGACAACCTCACTATCACTTGTGCTAATATGCTGGGGTACAAATGTGTTCAAAGTTAGTTAGCAGTCAGGTCGCATGTGGTGGGGTAAAGTATGGGCACTACCACCTCTTCTCTAAGACATCTGGCCAGTGTGGAAGAGTAGACCAAAATACCTTCGAGAGTGGCTCTAGAGCTCTCTTCTGCCAGCAGTGGTGTGAGTGAGACATTTTATGGCTGCACCTTTACCTTTATACAAATGTATTTTGACTGTAGGGGGCAGGGGGGGGCACATGCCTACAATCCAGCGATTTGGAGGCAGTGCTGGTGAATCGTTCCAAGATGATATTCATGAGACACTCAGCTACTGGTCAGCAAGATGCACAGAGTACCTAAATACTATATTTGTAAAGTGTTCCTTTCCTACCGCAGTGCTCTACATACGTGGAACAATAGTGCATCTTCCACAATAGTGCACCTTCCATACTAGTGCATCTTCCTTACAATCAGTGGTTAAGGCTTCATCGGTTTTGTTATTTGGATAATATGAATGCTAGAGCATTAAGTAATATATTTTAAGTAGTAAAATATTTTAAACTTAATGTAAGTTCATTTCTTTTTCGCAAAACGTCACATATAGTTTAATATATTGTGTTTCCTTTTTGTCTTGGTTATTATTTGGACCCTGTGTCATTTTGACTCTTTTGATCGCATATTCTGCATTGCTTTGCGTCCCAGGTCTTTCTCAGACGAGAGGCCTTTAATCTCGACGGGCTATCAGCTGGTATATAAAGATTATGATTTGATTTGACGTAAACAGCACAGCAATCAAGAAGGCTGCCGACCAATTTGTGTGGAGCTTGAATAATACTCTGAGTTTTCTTCAGTCATTCTAAACTCCCCCAAATGTGTAAAAAAAAACTCGAAAAGAATTTAGAAAACTACAAAAAAATACTCAAAAAAGGTACTCGCCAAACATTTCAATGCAAGGTTCTCCTGAAAATGAGATACTCATGGTTGAATAAATAACAGCAACTTCCACAACGACATTTATACGTTATGTAATGCTTGAGTCACTAAAATAACCGATACCATTTTTTTTTTCAAAATTGTAAGATGCTCCAGACGGTAAAAATGTGTGCCCGGTGTCATTAAAGTTATACAAATCAAACTCACACGCACCTACCAGATTACAATAAGATGCATCTCCAACTTTTTCTTAAAATAGAGGGGGGAAAGTGCGTCTTATAATCCGAAGAATACGGTATTTGAATTGCACAATGATCATGAATTAAATATGTTCGTCAAGCCTGTCCTTCTAAATATCTTGTGAGGTCAACCAAATTTCGAGAGCTGGCAAGATAGGTGGAGTGGGCTTCAGTACACAAGGTGATCACGTGACACCTCCACAACAATGATTACAACAAACATCGTCATCATCATCCATAATAATCAATCCACTGTTGGACCAAAGCAATCCCACGATGCAACAATTCATTCAGCACCAACTGATTCCGATTGACGTCATCTTGGACGGCATTGAGTGGTGACGAAGAGCTTACAAGAAACGCAAGTTGCGCCACACGAAACATGATGACCACATTACACCGACACAATATGTCCACAACAAACATCATACTTGTTTTTTTCTCCAAGGAGAAAAAAGGCACATTTTTGTCTGCTCGTAACGGGATAACAGACGTACAAAAGCCACAAGGCACGGTGTCCGGCAACAGAGCAGACCCAATAGTTGCAGCAGCAGCAGCAGCAGCCACACTAAAATGATATGAATAAAACATTGCTGTTCTCACCTATCTCCGCTGAATCCTGCTGTGCAGTGGCATTGTCCAGAAATGTGGTCGCACTGCCCTCCATTGTGGCACTGACACTCTTGGGAGCAATGTATACCGTATTTGCTGGGTGGACAGGGCTGGCCACACACAAACCCCTGCACCAGAGAGATAGAACAAGAACAAATTAAAAGCGCATTTTTGTTTTATTGCAGTGTTAATCTTTAAGCAATGGCCATAGGACAGAACAAGGACGATTATTCACCAGGTGTAAACTAAGCTTCCATGCATGACAGCTGACACTGTTTCCTGTCATGTAAATTAGCGGCCAAGGCAGACAGGTTTTTTTTTCTCTTGTATTTGTCTATACCATAAATCTGCATATTATTGTCAATAAATCCAAAGTGTGAAAGCTTTAATATTAAACATGTGACTGATAACACAGGCTGTGGAATCGAAGAAACATTTCATTAAGTAAAAAGGGGCTTTAAAATAATTTGTGCTGCTGATTCATTGTGTGTTTGTACCTGTCTTAACAATGGTGAACACACAATACAAATTTAAGGCTTTCCATTTTTCAACACAAAACTATTAATTTTCAGTTTTAAATTAAAACAAGTCATATACATAACATTGACATTTCTGCACAAAAATACCCTTAATTATAAAAAGTTCCACATTCTTCCGGATTTTTTTTCCAGGGGATGAACTTTATAACAAGACCACCGTGGCATCCCTGTGTTTTTGTCATGTATTATTACATACATAATTCATACAACATTTGCTGTATGTCTTTTATATTAATATTTAATGTGGTGTTTATTACAAGTTTTTGCATTTTCCAGGGCCCGGAGGTATGAGCAGCTCATGCAGCCAAAACTAAATTGTTCATCGAATGTTGGGGCTCACTTACTTGTTTGATTGTTTTGAAGGCCCCTTGGACTTTCCCCAAGTATCTAACACATCCAATAAAAACCAAAATACCACCCCAATCTCACACTGCACGCGCACCCAGTCTCTGACCTCAACTTCAACCTACATCTCTCGCTCCCTCCATCCTCGTCTGCCTCCTCCACTCATCTACCCGCCATGGAGAGTGTGTGCGCGTGTGTGCGGAGCGTCGGGGAGGGCGATAGTGCAACGGTTAGCGTGATGCGCCACGAACCCGGCCACCCGAGTTTGATTCCCGCTCACGGCCAACATGAGCGATGACCATCTGAATCGGCCTCCCTTAGGCCGACTCAGCCTTCAATGAGTACCTGCAGCAGTGTGTAAATAGCAGCACTGGGGAGACAAAGGCAGCCTGGCATTGCGCCGGCCACAAACCCACCCTCCCATGTGCCGTGCCGGCCTGAGTAGGTGTTCACGGACAGTACTTGCTCCGACAGTCTGTTCAAGGGGGGTTATCTTTGGCTGTTGTGTGTGTCTGTGCGCGCGTGTCTGTGCGCGTGTGCGTATATACCATCCAGCCCGCTGGGCAGGAGCACTCCCCCGTTACGTGATGGCAGACGCCTCCGTTCTGACACGGACAGCGCAACTCGCACTGGGCTCCGTGGCTCCCGGGAGGGCAAACCTCCTCACAGCTGTCTCGGCACGCAAGCGCACAAGTAGCAGCGCGCACACACACACACGCGCGCACCCCGCGGGAACGACAACATTCGGTCAAACAATCACACCCATTTGTACAGAAAACGCGTAAGAAGCCTGCTGCCATCGTCGTCGTCGTCGTCAGCAGCAGCAGCAACAGCAGGCCAATGCTCTAACCACTGCTGGGCTGATGCCTCCGTCTGTTACGGTCTCGCAATGTAACAAGCTTCTGAGCACGTGCCCTCGGTAGGTATTCTCTCGGGTGTGTTTAGTCTCGACCACATTTCTAAACGACACGAAGACTACGTTTGATAATTTCCCATGCGTGTATATGGGAGTGTCGTATTCTTGCTGCACAATTAAATAATTAATTCGAAGCTATACTATTGCTTCATCCTATTTTACAACAGCAACAATGCTCTTTTGTACGCATTATACTAAAGTACAATATATAGTGAGGTTTCAAATAATGATATGAATGTACACCCCTTTGTCAATCCACTACTAAATGAAGTGCTGTAGATCAAATAAGTTCAGAAAAGGGCTAACAATAAGCAGATAGCATATGCCTTCAAAGGTATAATAATTAGATTCGTCTTCTCCTGCCTTGGCTCTTGAGTTACAGGGACACGACTGTCTCCTACACCACATTTTTCTGTCCATGACTGCATCTTTAAACTAAGATAGCTTACTCCCAATCCAAAATTAAATCACAGGAATGTTATACTTGGAATAAGATAAATTTTCTTCCAAACTATTAATATACGAAACGATAAAAACAAAACCTACACGAACGTAGCGTGTGCTTACTGATCAGCTGGTTTTGAAGCCCACGTGTGTTATTGAAAGTTAAAGTATACAATTTTGTCGAGGGTCATTCAGCCTAAAGTTATGGCTAGAATCTCACTTAAAATGCAATAACATCTCTGGCCTGCCTGAATTCCCCCTATGCAGTTCATTCTGATAAAATTGGGCTTCTTTTTCTTTAATATGAACTGAGGAACCCTATAACAAAATAAAAAGAACACTGCATCTCAGAGAATATACCTAGATGCTAGTACCACACTTTAATAAATGAATGATAAAAAAAGAAAATCGTATTTTTAAAATATGAGTATTTACTCAGGAAAGCCCCACCGAGTTTTGAAACTATTTTTGCTTGAAGACAGGCAGACTAATATGAATCAGCATCATTAGTTCGAGCAAGCAAAACTCTTTACCAGTTTTGACATTCTGAGTCTCATCCATCAGAGAGGCTTACTAAAATGGATCAGGGTCCAGAATTGTATTTTCCACCGAGCAAAGCCCGCTGAGCTAAGAAGCTCTTTGTCAAAGGCGACTTGGCCCAGCAGACATCAACAAATGCTGCTGGGTTTCACCAGATGTGATTAGCGAGGGCACTCCATCTGGAAACCCGAACAGCTCATAACTTAAACATTTTTTATCATGGAGACAGAATGATCGTCTGTTTATATATGTTATCAACCATGATTCTGCACATATACGCATAATGAGCAGTGCCTGATGCGATGTGTCTACCAACAAGGACGAGGGCGTAATTCTTGCTGCTTGACCACTCGGGCATTCATCTTTCTTGTCCGGTAAAAAAACCCTCACGCATATCGGCGATCCACCCACAGATTAATCATCTTCGGCGCTGCATTGCATTACATTTTTTTCCGATGGTCCATACCCGATTGATTTTTTTTTATTTTATTTATAAGGTTTTGATAAGAGTCTGCGTCTGTGTAAAGGAAATTACTATTGGAGTTCTGAACAGCGTCGGCGGTGGCTGCGCAGTCACTCACAATGCACCGGTGAAGCCGGGCGGGCAGTGGCACTCGCCCGTCACGTGGTCGCACGTGGCACCGTTGTGGCACTGACACCGCAGCTGGCAGCCCAAGCCGTAGGTGGCGGTGGGGCACGGCTCCTCGCAGCGCCAGCCCTGGAAGCCGGCGGCGCACACGCACGCGCCGGTGATGGGGTTGCAGCGCGCCCCATTGCGGCACTGGCAGCGGTTGCTGCAGTGGGGGCCCCAGTGCTCGATGTCACAGCCTGGAGTACACGCGGGGGGGTGGGGGGTGGTGGTGGTGGAGGTGGGGGAGCACGACGCCAATTAGTGCGAGGCACGAAATCCGCGTCGCGTACCGGCACTCCGAGCTCCCTTCGCAGTTGTTGCGCTGCACGGCTGAGCGCGCCTTCCAAAAATATCCACACTCTGTTTTTTTTTTGTCCACTGAACAAACGATTCGGGTACACACAGAGGGCACACGTGGGACTTGACACCAGTATTCGACACAATGCGAAGAACAATTATTATTATCAACGTTTAAAATGTTTTACCTGTCAATGCCACGTATTTCAATAAACGCTACATCCCTGGTGTATACTTCCTTCATATCCACACTTTTTAACGACGTTCAAATTTGTGACTTCATGGTATGCAAGAGGTGCTAAATAGTCACACATATTTCCCGAGGAATTTCAAATAAGGTCAATGCCGACGGATTTTTGTAGCTCGTCGTACGTGTATATGTTTAATTTTTATTTCGCGTTTATTTTTTTATTATGATTAAGTAAGGGTAGTGCTTGGATGGATTTCCATTTTTCCCTGGTGATGAGATGGTCAAACACAGAAAGGTGTTATATATTTAATCAGATTTATAGAAAATTGGTTTTTGTACACTGGAAATTATTCATAGTATCTTTCAATGCAAATCCCGTTTTATGAAAGCTAAAAATTGTGTTATTCTGCAGGTTTGTATATTACCATATCTGTAATGGAATCACTAAATTGTGTCAAGGAATTCAATGCTGCCTAAACTTATTTCTTTCATTACATCTACAGATCCACGTATCAAAGTGTACTAAGGAAGGAAGAGAATTATCTCCTTCTTGGCGTCAAGCTGATTAAGCTGCTATCAAAGAAAGGTCACGGCCCATAATTGCTGTCCAATTTAAAGGGGCTACAAATAAAACAGCAAAACATAGTTTTCAAACACCGCGATGGACTCGGACACAGACGCCACGGTGTAACCGTTATCGCAACTGGGCTTGCAATCCAAATGTCGCCGGTTCGATCTCCCAGCATGCAAGTTCAAACAACGGTGCAAGTCTCTTAAATCCCTCCACCTCTGTCCACCACCCGGCATTACTCTTAGCCGATCAGCAGGTGGCATACGGGTGGGGTAAAATGTGAGTACGCTTGCCTCTTCCGAGAACATCTGGTGGGCATGGAAGAGTGCGGTAACAAAAATAACACCCACGAGAGAGGCTATCTAAAGCTCCATCTCGCAGATGCCATTTCACCAACAGCGACGTAAGCAAGCAACTGCAATGGAATCTCGATGTCAGTCCACATATAAATTACCCCAGTAAGCATATGAATTGAACTAGGGGGCTGAAAGGTACTTATTACGCACTTTGCTGTAGACATTTATTATTGGAATCATCATAACAGCTCTTGTTTTTACACCCATGTGTACTTAGATTAAATTAAAACTGATTAAACGTTGTATTTGTACCGGGTAAGGCCCACTGAGCTACATAGCTCTTTTTCATAAGTAACCTGGCCACAAATGATAGCTCAAAAAATCTCTTATCACGTATACATTTATAGCATGCAAATACTCTAAACGCATGTTGATTCTAAATGTGGAGGGAAAACCAGAGGACCTGGAGAAAAATCTACACGATCACAGGGAGAACATGCAAACTCCAAATATATAGGTGTCAGGGTCGGGATCAAACCCTCGACCTCCTGCATACTAGGCGAGGTAATTAACATCTCACCACGGCGACGAGAGGATACTCGTGTGGAGTCACTGTTACTTAATGCTCTTGTTGTGATGGTGTACTACTACACTGCTGTTTATGGAAGCGGAACAAAAGTTGAAACCTATTTCGCTGGCGTTACCCAGAAAAGTTTCACCGAGTCTCAAGGATTTTTTTCAGGAGGGTTCTGCCAACTTTTGCATTAGGGAGCGATGATGTTGCGGCTATGTGTAATGCCATTTGAGTAGTTTGCAGGTAATTGAAATGTTTGGCTGAGACTAGTTATATTGGGATTTTTTTGGCAATGGCATAACACGGGAGATACTGGAGGAAACCCATACACAACAGGGGGAGAACATTCGTGATTGCAGGAATTCAGATTCTTGTTTTTTTTTCGGTAAAGTCACGTAGATAGAAAAAAAAATCTAAATTAAAAGAAAAAAAATCTATGACGTTTCGATCGCAACACAAGCGGTCTTCTTCAGGTGGAAAGAAAAGAGGGCCAACCTCCAGATGTAGCTGCTTATAAGGGCCCCCATTTTCTGATGGTGTACCTAGGTGCAATCCCTCCCTCCTCCCTCTCTACATCTCTCCCCCCCTATCTGTACCCCACCCCCTCTCTCTCCCCCTGTCTCTCGCGCAGCCCTTCTCCCCGCCCACTCACTCTGGAGCCATTATAAGCAGCTACATCTGGAGGTCGGCCCTCTTTTCTTTCCACCTGAAGAAAACCGCTTGTTTTGCGATCGAAACGTCGTGGGTTTTTTGCTTTTAATTTAGATTTTTTTTCTATCTACGTGACTTTACCGAAAGAACCAAAGATATAGGGGGAGAACATACAAATTCCACATCGATAGGTGCACGAGTCGAGAATTGAACCCAAAAAATTCTTCCCGTGACGCACAAGAGTTACCACTGTGCCACACTGCTGCCCCATCAAGAACAATTAACCCTAATTTACAGATATTTATCAAGCCACTGCTGTGTCTCTCATGGGGGTTGTTTGAGCATCCTTCACCATGCCAGTCAGTGAAGGTTAAAGGAGGGAAGTTGTGTCCCAGACTGGCTGCGATTTGAACCTTACAAACATTTGAGAATGTTTTGTCATATTCTGCGTGGCCTGTGTTTATATGTTGATGCCAAACCTGAACCTATACAAAACATTTCTTGTAATTGTATTATTTTCATTCATCAAAAAAGTAAGCGGTCATTTCAAGCCTGGAATGCTTTTAAGCTGAGTGTACTGCGCATCACTTGCATCAGTGTGTACTAGTTCTCAGACATGCAATCAAAATGCAAATAAGACGGTGGCTATAATTGTGTTCACAACCACTGCTGCTTTTGGAAACAAAAGTCATCTATAGCATAGTGCATGTCATTTGGCTGAGCCCTAACTTTGCATTCTTCTTCACATTCTTGGTTCTTATTATTTCCCTTCTACGTGACTTTACTGAAAGAACCAATAACATGAATCCCTGCAGTCACGAAAGCTTTAAATCGAAATTCTTCTTCACAATTCAACAAAAAGTCACATTTTGCGATGATGGAACGGTGGGGGATAATGGCTCTCAGGTGGTTTGTGAATACAAAGCTGGCACTGCGTGGTTCGGTGGTGGCACTAAGCAATACAAATGTGGACAATATCTGGGCGACAGTGGGTAAACTGAAATTAACACACAACCAATGGGACGACGGTGAATTGGGCTGTCTGCAGCATCATGACGACTCGGAGGGGAGTGCAACTGGTAAGGAATCTGTAATGAATTAAAAAAACAAACACATTTTGTCAGAAGTAATATTGAAGCAATAAGTAAGCATTTTGTGCGCAGAGTTAGACTGTGGGTGCCACCAGGGAGAGTATCGTGGTGCGATGAGAATTCAGGCTGGCCGAGGGTCCTTTGTCGTTTTTCGTGACCTTGCCTCACTGCATTACTAATGAGCCGCAAGTTTCCTCCAGCGCTCGTCAAATTGTGCTCTTGTGTTTTTTCCCATACGTAGAAACACCCTTTATTTTTTTTCATAAGAACGACTCGAAAAGACACCTCCTTCCTACTGCAAGCCATCAAAATAAGCTCAGAAAAGTACGACTGCTAATGCTATCCAGCAGTGTTAAAAATAAGACTAAATACCTTTAGAGGCATATGCTTGTTATTATTATACATGCCAGAAGAGTATTTTAACAAATCAGAATATTATTTAATAGAACCTTCAGATGTGTAATAATCCAATTCATGAATATGACCCTTTATAAATGTTGAATTATTTATGTGGTGTTTCCTCTTAACTTTTATTAACATTAAATATTCAAACCTACCTTAACATTTTCAGTACTGTACGTGAAAAATATTATAAAGAAAATGGATCATATACCTTAATTTTGGTAAATCTATCGGGCTGTGAAAAAATACGAATACAAATTGCAACAAAACCAAAAAAGGGAGCATTGTTCATTTATCGTTTCAATATGAAGTTGGGTTATCTGGAGGCTTGGTGAGATCCATTCCACCTGTCCAATTTTTGACGGGAGCAACTTGGAGTGCAAACAATACCGGCACTGCGGGCTCGCTGAGAACTTGAAGAAAAATCAAATATCACCCTTCCAGATCTGCAGGCCGCCTTGTGTAAACACAACGGCTAAATCCGCTAAAAGTGTCTCAAATGAAAAAATAATTTAAAAAATCACCGCTTGCGAGGCCCCCCTGCTGAGGTTGCCTCATTGCTGGAGAGCAACACAGCAGCGCTTTGGTGCGTGAAGAGAATAAATAATAAATATGCGCGAGACGACCATCGCGGTGCCATGCATAAGTAATTAGGCACAGGTAGCGAGCGGGGCCTCGCCACGAGGGATGGATTCGAGTCGCCCTGGCTCGCTTCGCGGTGCAACGTGGTTTAATTATCCACAATAGAGGGGTTTTTGGAGGGGTTAGATCGCGTAAATATGTGTCGTTAAAACCCGCCACCACCCGACACAGCCAACTAGTAAGGAGTTTAAAATTTTGATTTAAAGCTTTCGTGACTGCAGTAATTCATATTCTTAGTTTTTTCGGTAAAGTCACGTTGAAGAGAAACAACAAAATAAAAAATATATATAAAACAATAAAAAATTCTCACGACGTTTCGACCATAACTCAAACGGTCATCTTCAGGTGTGTTGGTTTGCATAAATTTATTTTTAAACGGCGCCGTTAGTTAGGAGTCTAACTGTTTCGTTCGTTATATAGAGGCGTTTAATTACCTTTAATTCTGATCCATTGTGACGTCATCGCCGCATCCGATGAGTTCGG